GGTTGAAGGAGCTGGGCATGCTCATCTTGCTGAAGAGAAGACTGAGAGGTGGCATGATCACGCTCTGGTGAATGTTGACCATAACGTCACACTAGATGACATAGATTCCTAGAGAGAATATATTAATCAAATCCATGAATAATCAAAACTGCAAAAGTTAAAGCTGCAGATTTCAAAGGCCAACTGTATTTCAGTGGTACACACCTAAGCAAGAATAAAACAGGGTTTTTTTTTAATCATTCGGTTCAATGTTGTAAACGTATGTTCAATGGCAGTAAACGTAATGAGCACATCTAGGGAGAATGCCAGTATGAATATGCCTTTTGTCACCAGATTAATGAGATATCACTAATAATAGATCATTCAGTTGTCATTAAACTTTTATTGAATTTGTTTTATGTGATGGAAACCTATTTAGCTAAGCAATAAAACTAGTGTTATCAAATCTGTTCACTGGGATGAGCAAACTGGCACCTTGACTTTCTCCTATTTCTTTTAAAAAAAAAAAAACTCAAGTTCTTTCTTGACAATTCTGGAAGAAATTTGTAAATTCATTAAGTTTTGGGATATGATTATTAAAATTCTCAGATATTATAGGCCAAAGCCAATAGATATATTTATTCTAAGTGTTGAGAGGATTATGATGTATCTTCCTTTAAAAGAAATAAAAGATGAGGCACTTACCAGTAGAAGAAGTGGCAGCTCTAATTCCACCCACAAATATAGTTGGATGAAGTTAGATTTGGAGATAAGACTTTTTAGAGTTAAAATTCCAAGCCAGGTGGGTGAATCTGTCAGTTCAGCTTTTTCCTATTTTTTTTTTTAAATCTCAAGTTCTTCCATTGTGTTTAATGAAGAAATTTGCTGACTTTTTAAACATTGTTATCAACAAAGGAACCATATGAAATTATTATGCTTTACTATTTGTTGACTGCTGTTTGAGCTAGACTTTGGAATGGATGAAAGGAGAGTTGAAATGCAGAGATTCAGCAGAGATGTCTGTGCTGATCAAAGAGAGAAACAGGTATAATAGGTTGTTCCTATAGCAGAAACATGGGAGCCATACGGTAGGTCCTGGAATAGATCTCAAGGCCATGTAAGATTAAAAATAATTTTATTTTTATAATCTGATGTGAATTCTTAATATATCTAGTGACTGTAGAATTCTAGGAAAGGAAGTCTAGATGAAATTATAT